TCTCAGCCGATGTGGATGTTTTCCCTTTCCAGTCGAGCTGGTGTTTTTTCCCTCTTATGATTTGACCTATTCGGATCTGTTTGTGGACTATCGCCTTTACTATCCTCTATATAATAAAATATACCTTCAATCCATTTGTTTGGAGTGGAAAGTTTCTTTTACGCCTCTGATCCAATCCCCACACCTCTCATAACAGTCTTAAACTGCATCCCAGGTGTGCAGGGGCTCCAGTGGCAGGTAGAATAATTTCCCCAAAATGTCCACGGCAAAAGCAACCTGCAGATGTGATTAAATTAAGGATTTGGGAATGGAGAGAATATTGTGGGTTATCTGAATGGGCCCAATGTAATCACAAGGGTCTTTATAAGTGAAATAGGGAGGAAGGAGAGTCAGTGTTAGAGTGATGCAGAATTAGAAAGACTAGACTGCCATATGTGGTGTTGAAGACTGAAAAGCCATGAATCAAAGAATGTGGGCAACTGCTAGAAGCTGGAAAAGGCAAGGAAATGGACTTTCCCCTAGAGCCTCCAGAAGAGACATAGCTTTTCCAACATCTTAGCCTATGGAGACTCATTTCAGATTTCTGATTTCCAGACCTGTAAGATAATAAATTTGCATTGTTTTAAGCTCCAAATTTCTTTGCAGTAGCAGTAGGGAACTAATACACCCCCCACTCCCCCAAAATAACCATGTTTAGATCTCATATTAAGTAAGGGACTATTTTAGCTTTTCATAACTGAAGATATACAATGAAAGAATATGCTATGCAAGTATATTCATTAAAACTTTGTTTTTTTAAATGTTTAAAAAATAAAATCTTAGAAAAAACACATTCCATCTTTTTTTAAAGATTTTTCTATAATAACTATTTGAAATAAGTACTGTTAAGAAAACCCACAGGGTAAAACATTTTTTCAGCTTCATATTAAGAACTCTTTGGTTGATGTTATTAGATCCTTTCCTTATTTCTGAAATTACCAAAATTGAAAGTTCACTTTTATTTTAATTGCAAATTAAATGTAGACTCTTGTAGGTACTTATTTAAATTTAAGAAACTAATGAAAAAGTTCACTCTGCTTACAGAAATTATCTAACTAAAGCAGTAAAGTTTGAGTTACATTACTATCAGAGGATTTTTAAGGATAGACCAAATGCATGTACATTCCCATGTTCCTGTGTATAAAAATTTATTGCCATTTTATATTCAGCATGCAACTATGAAGGTAATCAAGGTAATCATGAAAGGAAATCGTTCTTTTTCCTACATATATTTTTGCATGAATTTTAGCATGAAATATTTAGCTACCCATTGCCTCGTAAGGTAGAATGCTACTACTGTCTACACAATAAACCATCAGTTTATCCAACAATGACCACCTCCCATTTTTCTCAATGGAAGTGATGGATTTACTGAATATTATTCAAACCTACCCCTCCTTTTATTGTGACATTCATCTCTTTTACTAGGAGCTTTATGTTATAATTATGTACTTGCCATGTAAAAAAAAAAAAGTAGCAGTATTTCAGATAATTTAATTTTTTATTGGGGATAAGGAAAACTCAAGAAAATGAGGCCTTATATATATTAACTTAAGTGGAAGTTAGTATTTCAACATTTTGTAACAAAATTGGAGGAAACAAAAGGGCAAAATATTAGTGATCCTGAGACTAATATAATTGGGTTCAAACTAATAAGGGCGGGGAAAGTGCTGGCCGTATCTTTTACATTCAGATCTGCTCAAAACTCATACTTCCCAAAATATCTATTCCCATATTTGTAGTTATTAGTTAACAAATAAATTAATATAAGAAAAAACAGTTAACATAGATTTAAGAATTATATATATATTTTTTATACCAGAGAGATACGTCAAATATTTATGTATAAAGTCTATTATAATAATATAAAACAAAATATATATAATCATACCACAAAATGTATATACGTATATGCGTCTAATTTATTAAGTCTTCAAACATGCAGTTCGGCAATTAAAGCATTCTGCAAACTATATCCTCTATTGATAATATTTTCTGTGCTCTAAAATTTTCAATTTATATTTCTTATACTACTTCATCTAATATGATCTCTACTCATTTCCACCTGTCAAATTTTAAATACTTAAAAACTCAGCATAACTGTTGCTTTCTTTTGGAATTCTTACCTATTTCCTTTCATGTCTTTTTTTTTTTTTTTCCCTCTGTACTCTCAATACATGTCCTCTAATTATATTTATTTGGGCTACTGTTTTATCCATAAAATGCTTATCAGGAAACTTTATTAATAAGATGCTCCTATAAACTCTGGTATATTACACCAAAGAGAATATTAAGGTCTGATGCATTCTACGGTATGATTTAATTAAGAAAATTGCAGGTGAATTGTTCCTTTCAAAAAGTGTATATTTGTTATGTAACATTGGTTTATCTTAAAAGTGTGTATCTTCCAATGTAAAATAAGTTCAATTATAATATTAAATATTTACATTCTCCATATTATAATAATTTAAATAATTATTAAAGAAGCACACAATCCTTCCTGCTTCACAAAAACATGTGCATATATGCTAGATAGCATCAACGTTGTTATAAAAGTCTAGAAGATTACAAGGTAAAATGACATGTTAAAAATGTGCCATTGGTTTTGATGGTGATTAGTCAAGTTTCCCTTAACCAATGAACATTTTATAAAACTTGGAGGTAATAAAAACCACCAAACTTGTTATTGAGAAAAATATTCGTAATAAAATTTTATAGTTAACTGTGATTTAATATGCTAAAATTCAGACTGGCAGAACTTTTTTATAACCTAAATTATTGACTCACGTAAAACAAAATTTTATGAAGTAGTAATCACCCATCAAGGTAGTCTTGATTTCAGACTCATATTTTTTTTTTTATTACATTGAAATGAGTGCTAATCTGTTAATGTGATCTTGCATCTACCTTACAAACAGGGTTTCTTACAGTCAGATTTCTTTCCGTAAGAGTGAAAGTAAGCAGTAGAGTAAATCTGTGATGTTAAAGATAACTGTGTTCTATATTAGGTTGTTTTTTCCACTCCCAGTCCTCATTTTATTCTGGTTTATAGAGGGAAAAAAGAAAAGTGCAAACACAATCCTTCTATATTCTGTTTCAACTACTTCTTTTCTCATCATTTAAAGAGCCACTTGGAATAAGTTTGAGTAAAACCTCCCAATGATCTTCAAATATGTGTCTGGTTGTCCAAAGCGCTGTATGTTTTTGTTGCATAAATAATTTTATAAATCAAAACATAGCATCAGATACCCAATCATTCCACAAAGTAGAATGCACATTAACCAAATATTCAACAATAGAAATTCTGACCCTTCACTCTCTCCAGGAGTCAATAAATCCTTTTAGTTTTACTTTAAAAAATATACTCCTTTCACAACACCTATACTCCACATATACTATCCTGATCCAAGACACTCATATCTCTGACTTTGACTTGAATAGCACTCCTAACTGGTCTCCCTCCATTTACTCTTGTCTCCTCGCTACAGACTAATCTTCAAACAGTGGCAAAAGTGATACTCTTAAAACATAATTCTAATCACTACTTTTCTCTTTTTAAATAACTCCAGTGGTGTTCCATCTCACTTATAATAAAACAGAGAGTTTTTCCAAAGACATATATGTCCATAAATCATCTGCTTTCTCATTATTTCTTTTCTATCATCTTTTATAACTCTCCTCCTGCTCTCTCCACTCTACCCACACTGGCCTCCTTGTTCTTTCTCCAGTACAGCAAGCAAGCTCCTGCCTCAGGGCTGTTACAAATTCTGTAATTTCTCATTGAAATGACAATTCTCTAGAACTCTGTATGGCTTCATCTATCAGTTCCTTCATATCTTTATTCATATGCCAACTTGTGACTTTTGTGATTACTCTATTTAAAATTTTAACATCTTCAATGCTTTGCTTTTCTTCATAGTGTTTATAACTATTTGCAACAAACAGTATTATATTCCTTTTATTGATTGTCTAATTCCTGAACCGAAATTTAAGCAGCCTATAAGAGGAGCGAATTCTGTCTTTTATATTCACTGTCATATCTCCTAAAATAATTCCTGAGAAAGAGTAGGTTTTCAATTAATATTTGAGCATATTAGTAAAATTATTCCACACAGATTAGGTAAGCACATGCTATGTAATAGCCATTATACCATCTGCTGGAGAATTAGAGCGGTCAGAAGGTGGAGATGTTGTTTAACCTATGGAGAACACAAGATATTAAACAGATACTGAGGAGTATGGCATCATCATCATGACAGACGAGGAGTTTTCTACCATATTCCCCCCAAAAAACACCAATTTACACAATCGCCCACAAGAGAGACTTTGTGGAAGTTGAGGAATCCAGCTGAGAAGTTCCAGTACACCATTGAAGCAAAAAAATAATCCTAAATAAGACATATTGAAGAGAGTAAGAGGAAGAATTTTATTTTACTTACATCACCTTCCCCCAAGGCTGCACAATCAGTGCCAAGAGAGATCTTCTCATTGAATGATTTCTCCCACAGAGGAAAGTAAGAGCGGGTGAGTGAGCATCCAGTTTCCCTGGCTATGCAGGACCCTGCCAAAGATGCACACTTCTTTCTTGCCTTATCAAGAATACTGAGGTGTGTAGCACAACTAGGGGGCAGGGAGCAGCTGGGAGAACAGCAGATAGTGCTCTTAAGGGCATTAAAAGGAATGGATTCTACTAACCACATTGTGGACTCCACCATGAGCCTGCCCATGAGCCACTGAGGATGCCTCATTTGCAGATCCCCCAAATGGGCAGCCCCAGTTCTCCAAGCCCTCACCCACACACCCCCAACCCTGCGGCCAACTCCCAGTGTGTGCTCCCAAACATGGTGAGAACAAGCCTTTGCAGATGGCTAGTGAGTATATGCAGAAAGCTCACCCAACTTCTTCTGTGGTTCTGGAAGAAACCACAAACTTGAGCATTCAGCACCAAACTAGAGAAAGCAAAAGGGAGGCTGTCAGCACCTTCTCTGGTTTTTAGGATTAAGAGTAAGAATAAAAGCTTAAGAATCCTGCCACAAGTGAGAAGAGACAGGGAGAAGGTGTATCTGTTGATCTGTTCTAAGAAGGCCTCAGAATCTCAAGCAAGGCTGACATAAATGTTTCTCTCTTGAAGCTAGTCAGTGAAGATAGGAGGAGTTGACTGTGTCTTCAAATGAGACACAGGAAAGACTTCAAGGAACATGAAAAATCAAGGATATGTGACACCACGGAAGGAACACAATAATTTTCCAGTCACTGACCTCAATGACATGGAGATCTGCACTTTGTCCAATAAAAAATTCAAAATAGTTGTTTTAAGAATCTCAATGAGGCACAAGAAAACACAGAAAGACAATTCAACAAAATCAGGAAAACAATACATGAACACAATGAGAAGTTTAACAGAGTTGGAAATTATAAAAAAGAATGAAACAAAAATTCTGGAGCTGAAGAATATAAAAAATGAAATGAAAAATGCAATAGTGAGCACTAACAGCAGACAGGACCGAGCAGAAGATAAAAATCTGTGAAATAGAAGATATCATTTGAAATTACCCAGTCAGAGAACATAAAGAATGAAAAAGAGTGAAAAAAGCCTACGTGAATTATGGTATACCATTAAGAGAAAAAAATCTACATATTAATAGAGTCCCAGAAGAAGAAGAGAGGGAAAATAGGGGCTGAACGCTCATTTAAAGAAATAATAACTGATAACTTTAAAATCATGGAGAGATTTGGATATCAATCATGAAGATAATAGGTCAGCCCAAAATTTAAATTCCAAATGATCTTCTCCAAGACACATTATAATAAAACTGTCTAAAATAAAATGCAAAGAGAGAAGATTAAAAGCAGTAAGCAAAAAAAAAAAAAAAAAAAAATCCTCACATACAAGGGAACTCCCATAAAATTATCTGATGATATCTCAGCAAAAGCCTTATAGGGCAGGAGAGAGTAAGATAATGTATTCAAAGTGCTGAAAGGAAAAAAAAACTTGCCAACCAAGAGTACTATACCCAGCAAAGTTGTCCTTCAGAAATGAAGGCAATGTAAAGACTTTTCCACACAAACAAAAGCTGAGGGAGCTCATCACCACTAGACTTGCCTTACAAGTAATGTTGAAAGGAGTTCTTCAAGCTGAAATGAAAGGACACTAATTAGTAACATGAAAATATACAACACACTGGTAAAGGTGAGTATATAGTCAAATTCAGAATACTCTAATACTGCAATATGGCAGGGTGTTAATCACCTAACTCTAGTGTAAGTTTAAGTAACAAAGGTATTAGAAATAACTATAGCTACAATATTTGTTAATGGATATATAGTATAAAAAGAAGTAAATTGTGACATCAAAAACATAAAATGTGGGAGAAGAGTAAAGGGGTAAAGTTTTTGTATACAATCGAAGCTAAGTTTTTATCAGCATAAAAAAGACTGTGATATCTATAATATGGTTTATGTGAGTTTCTTGATAACCACAAAGCAAAAATCTACAGTAAATACACAAAAGATAAGATAGGGAATCAAAGCATACCACTAATGAAAATCATCAAATCACAAAGGAAGACAGCAAGAAAGGAATAAAGGAACAAGGGGACTAAAAAACAGCTAGAAAAAGATTAATAAGATGGTACCAATAAGTCCATACCTATCAACAATTACCTAAAAAATAAATAGATTAAATTCTCCAATCAAATCATGAAGAGTGGCTGAATGGATAACAAAACAAGACTCAACTACACAATACCTACAAGAGACTCACTTCAGCTATGAGGAACACATAGACTCAAAGTATCAGGATTGAAAGAGATATTTCATGCAAACAGAAACCAAAAAATTTCCTAACAGGGTTAGATTTAGCTAACAGGCTTAGCTATACTTATATCAGACAAAATAGACCTAAGTCAAAAGCTGTAACAAGAGACAAAGAAGTCTCTTGGAGTCCTTGGGGTTTTCTATATATAACATCATGTCGTCTGCAAACAGAGACAATTTTACTATTTCCTTTCTGATTTTGATGCTTTTCTTTTTCTTGCCTAATTGTTCATGCTAGGACTTTCAGCACTAGTCTCTGTTTGCAGATGATGTGATTTTATATACAGAAAACCCCAAAGACTCCAACAAAAAACTGTTGGAACTAACAAATTAATTCAGTAAAGTTGCAGGATACAAAATCAACATGGAAAATTCAGTTGCAATTCTACACACTTGCAATGAACTATCTGAAAAATAAATAAGGGAAGTAATGCCATTTACTATAGAATCAAAAACAATAAAATGCCTAGCAATAAATTTAACCAAGGTGAAAGAACTTTACATTGAAAACTATAAGATATTGATGAAATAAATTTGAGAAGACACAGATAAGTGAAAAGATATCCTGTGTTCATGGATTGAAAGTATTAATATTGTTAAAATGTCCATACTTCCCAAAGCCACCTACAGTCAATGTAATTTCTATCAAAATTCCAACAGAATTTTTCACAGAAATCAGAAAACAATTCTAAAATTTGTATGGAACCACAAAAGACCCCAAATAGCCAAAGCAATCATGAGAAAGAAGAAAAAAGATGGAGGCATCACACACCCAGATTTCAAACAATATTAAGAAACTATAGTAAATCAAAGCAGCATGATACTGGAATAAAAATACACACATAGAATAATGGAACAGAATAGAGAGCCCAGAAGTAAATCTATGCATATACAGTCAACTAATATTTGACAAGGGATCCAAGAATAGTCAATGGAGAAAAGACAGTCTCTTCAATATATGGTTGTAGAAAAACTGGTTTTCACTTGCAAAAGAATGAAATTGGACCCCTATTTTACAGCACTCACAAAAATTAACTCAAAATTGATTAAGGTAAATGTAAGACTTGAAACTGTAAATCTCCTGGAAGAAAATGTAGTGAGAAAGGTACCTAACATTGGTCTTGGCAACATATTTTAGATATGACACCAAATGCACAAGCAACAAAAGAAAAATAAACAAGTGTGCCTATATCACACCAAAGAGTTTCTGCACAACAAAGGAAAGAATCAATAAACTGAAATAGCACCCTACAGAATGGAAGAAAATATTTGCAAACCATATATCTGATAATCACAAAAAGATATCATCTCACACTTTTTAGAATGGCTATTATCAAAAAGATAAGCGATAACAAGTGTTAGCGAGGATGTGGAGAAAAGGGAACACTTGTGCACTTTTGTTGGGAATGTAAATGTTTACAATCATTATAGAAACCAGTATGGAAGTTCCACAAAAAATTAAAAATAGAACTACCATATGATCCAGTAATCCTACTTCTGAGCATGTATCTGAAGGAAACAAAATCACTATCTCAAAGAGATATCTGCATTCCCACATTCACTGCAGCATTATTCACAGTAATAAAGACACGGAAATAACCTCAGTGTCCCTCAGTGGATGAATGGATAAAGAAAACGCAGTACATATATACAATGGAATATTATTCAGCCATGAAAAGAAGGAAATCCTCCCATTTGTGACAACGTGAATGGACCATGACAGTATTATGCCAAGTGAAATAAGTGAGACAAAGACAAAAATACTACATGATATCACTTATATGTGGATCTAGAAAAGCTTAATTCCTAGAAACAGAGAGTGGAGTGGTGGTTGCCAGAGGATAGTGGGTAGAGGGAAATGGGGAGATGTTGGACAAAGGGCACATACTTCCAGTTATAAGTAAATTCTGGGGAATCTAATGTACAGAATGGTGATTCTAGTTAACAATACTGTATTATCTTTGAATGTTGCTAAGAGAGTCTTAAATGTTCTCACCACACACACACAAAAAATCATAATTATATGAAGTGATGGAGGTATTAACTAATATTATGGTAACCATTATGCAATATATACATGTACCAAATCATCATGTTGTACATCTTAAACTTATACAATGTTATATGTCACTTATATGTCAATAAAGCTGAAAATAAATAAAAACACATGTAATAAAAAGAAAACACATAATGACACCACAGAGATTCAGTTAGTATCTAGTATGGTAAGTACTACAACAGAAAACTGCTCACAGTCATGAGATTGTATAAGTGGAGAATGAGGTTCAAACTAATCCAGGGTGATAGCTCATTTCTGAGTAGGGTTGGGGGGGAATCACAGTTTGAGGTGTGAGAATTTAGACATAGCCCTGAGTGGAGGGGAGCTCGGAAAGATTAAATAAAATTAAATAAGGACTGTATGGCTTGGATTGAACTAAGCAAGGGAAGAGGGACACAGTTGAAGCTGGAAAGATCTGTACTTGCCAGATGATTCAGGGTCCTTCAGGCCATGGTAAAAATTTTGGAATTTACCCTTAATTCTCAGAAAAGATATTTCATATTTTAAAAACAGCATAGAAATCATCAATTTGGAAGATTATTCTGGCCCAGTCTGAAAAATATTTGATATTGAGTAGGAGTGGATATAGTGAGAACAGTGAGAAGGCAACTATCCAAAGAAGAAATGATTGTGGCTTATACTAGAGTGAGTTAATGGAACTGGTAAAATGAAGATTTAAGGTTTATTTAGAATGTACATTTCCTCGTAAAACCCATCAAGGTATATCATAAGGTATCTACGTTATGAAATATATTGAGGAATAGCTTATCTACAATGAAAATAAAGAGCTATAATTTAAAATGTACGGGGGCGCTTAGTGGTTAAGTGCACGGGCTCCGCTACTGGCGGCCCAGGTTCCGATCAGGCGCGCAAGGATGTACCGCTTGTCAAGCCATGCTGAGGCAGCGTCCCACATACAGCAACTAGAGGGATGTGCAACTGTGACATACAACTATCTACTGGGGCTTTGGGGAGAAAAGGAGAAAAAAAAGGGATGATTGGGAATAGATGTTAGCTCAGGGCCGGTCTTCCTCAGCAAAAAGAGGAGGTTTGGCATGGATGTTAGCTCAGTGCTGATCTTCCTCACACACACACACAAGAAAAATGTACGACATGATTAGTTTAAATAGTTGTACACATTCATGAAATTTACTACCATAATCAAGTTACATATCATTTTCATTCCTTCTAAAAGTTCTTTGTGCCCATTGATAATCCATTCCTCCTTCCATCTCTGATATCAGGCAAGCATTGTTCTACTTTTGTCAGTATAGTTTTGTTTGCACAAAATACAATGTACTATTTTGTGTCTGTCTTCTTTCATTTAGCATAAAGCTTTTGAGATTCATATATTTTGTTGCATGGATCAGCAGTTTTTTGGTTATTTATACATATATACACATCTTATTAAATATATATAATATAATATGTTAGGAATATGAATTGAATGTGTTTTGAAGATAAGATATATATCAAAATTACTCAGAATCCTGTGACTAAGTAAAATTGATTAATGTATTTTGGGTACTATATATATTCATGTAGTACATGCTAATAAACTTTCCAAAACTATACATTATTACATCACATCTTGCCTGTAAATTTTCTCCCATACCTATGTAGGCAAGTGATCAGACAATTCTGTAGAACAATAACTCAAATAACAAAATAATAGAGATAGACATGGGGTAGATTGATGTAGCTTTCAGAAGAGTCAAACAAATCTAAGGATGAGAGTCATTATTAGTTATTAGAAGTTCCCAAAATATAATATATTGCAAAAAATTTAATGACTGAGGACATTTTAATGTAAGTGGTCAAATTATTTTGGCAGATGCAAGAATCCCAGTCATCAGAATTTTATACCTAAAAAATCCTAGTAATTGGAATTTTTAAGCATAAGATTAAAAAGCTGTTTTAGAGGAGGTATTCAATCAGAAAATATTACAATCATATAGGAGACAGAAAATATTCTAGCAATTTATCAACAAATATCCTGAGTTGACAACTAGATTAAATAAATGAACAAAATATAACAGGTTGGAGACAAGCCGTCATGAAAGGAAACTTGCTAACTGAAGCTGAAATAATGCCATTAAGCATGATGTTGCAGAAGATTGGAGATTTAACTAAATATCAAATGAAAGCTCCCTGCTGTTGATGTATCAGAAGATGAGGATTAAATGGATAGGAAAAAATAGATGAACAAACAAAGAACTTGGAATGTGTGTGAATAGAGAATATGGTGTGTGTTTGTGTGTGTGTGTGTGTATGTGCATAATATAAATAAATTTAAAATAAAAATAATACATATATTTTTTTGACCAATCGAAGATTCTTTCCTCCGGGACATGTAGTCTCTTAGAGTTCAGAAGTAAGTAAGAAAAAGCAAAAAGTAATGAAGCTTAACGACGCTGTTAAACCCTTGAGGCCAGTACACTCCATAGAAACATGGGATATATATCAAAATAGAGAGACTTTCACAAAGGTCTTAGATTGCTAACACTAAAAGATTTCTTGTGGTCTTATCTCTGTTCCAAATCCTCTGACCTCCTCACCAACTAACATTTTCCAAAGTGAACATACACACACGTGCCCGCACACCCACCTACACACACACGCACAGAAAATCAATTGTTTAAATTTGTTTGCTTGGGGGAGATGATTTTTTTTGTACATTATTCCAATGATAAATAGCACCACTAGTCAAGTATTTTTAATTTAAAATTTCCTCAAAGATTCCATACTTACCGGTGCACTCTGTTATTTAAAATATTCCCAAATGGTGACCTTCATATATCGAAAAGTTGAATATTTCATATTTACTTATCCTGCCAAAAACAGCTAAAGACCGCTGCAAGAGAATCATAATACTACAAAATGTGGACAAGGATAGATTGTAGCAATTAGTTTGAAATAAAGAAAATGTCTTATTGCAAACAAATCACCATTAAGTGTCAGGAGGATGTATCAACTATTTTAGAGGATACGGGAGCAAATATCGACCGTAAATTGTTCTGCCATTAGTTTTGTTTATCTTACTTGCAGTGTTAGATATCTAACACTTATTAGTACGAAATAGCTATATTTTGCCACATGGATCTTACATAAGGCCACAAATACACACCAAGCAATCCCATCATATTGACCTGCATAAATTCTCCTTCTTCATAGTAATTCTGATAGAAATAAAATATAAATTACTGACTATACAAAATATCATTCATTAATATAGTAAATAAACATTTATAAAGGGCACATGTAATGCCTAATTCTCTTCTATGAATACAATAGAGAACAAGACAAAAATCCCTTTCCACATGTTGCTTTCAATCAAAGTGGGGAAATGGAAAATAAATAAATTGGTTTACAATATGTAATGAGTTTCTGATACTTCCTCCTTAGAGGGGCCTTTACTGACCAAGCTCATAAAAAAGAGTACCGCCATAGTTCACAATGATTTTACTGTGCCTTCTTATTTACACTTGTGTCTAACTCATTATATATAATATACCAACTTATTGCTTTAATTGGCTACTCCTTCACCTGACAGCTCAGCTCTCTTTTTTGAGTTGTAAAAACTACAGGCCAAAAGTGAAATAATGCCAAACCCTTAACCACTTACAGTGATAATATAAGCAAGAGGCCAAACTGGAAAAAGTGCCCACTCCCCACCCCCACCCGCAGGCACTGGGTGAGGTGGTTCAGCACAGATGTGGAGGTTGTCACACTGCCAGGGAGTTCTAAGTCTCCTCCAGTTGCAGTTTTATAAATCCTTGGGGGAAAAGGAGTAAGAAGAGAAGAGCTAGGAGTGGAAAAGTACTGAACATGCAGTCAGAGTGGAGTAAAGCGTCTTCAAGTTTGCCACCCTCCCTCCAACACAGTGATCTCAACAAAAGCCCCCGAGGAAGTCCTCTGCCTAAGGCCCCAGTAAAGAGACCTCCAAATGAAATCCACCAGGGCTAGGAATGCAAATGGTACATAAGAGCATGGCTGGCCAGAGGGGCCTGACTGCTTGACTGCAACTCCCATCAGAGACTGCGATGCATTGGCTGTGCACTGAGTCTGGTGTGGGAGGGCAGCTTTTCCTGGTGAGGCCTGCCAGGTAAAGCCTTCATAACTGACCATGGTCAGGCCTGAAAAATCACACATAAGTTTTTAACCAGAAGCCTGACTCCTCAGGTAGCATTTGAGAAGATAGTAGAATGAAGTGATGTAACTTTAATAAATTCATTTATTCATTGGAAGCACACTTACAGACTACTATGTTCCATGTAGGTGCTAGCAGACACTAATTTTACTCAAATTTGTGCAAGTCCAATATGGTATTTATCATCATGGGAATTATATTCCCTCAGTGAAGATATTTGTTTAGCAATAACATCAACAATAATAACATAAAATATATAGGACTTAATATTTGCTAGGCTTTGAAGTACTTTAAAATATTGAATGATTTGTCTCATAAAATTGTATACATAAATTATTATTAATATTTTCATCTTGCAGATAAAGAAACATAGATACAGAGAAACAGAACATGGTGGTGATAGACAGCAAATGTGGCCACAAATTCTCCTCAAATACTAGCTGTGTACCTTTGAGTGACCTCCAACTTTGTTTCTGGGTTTAGTTATATGACTTGTTTGGGCCAATATCTTGGTTTTTTTTTTATTTTTTTTGTGAGGAAGATCAGCCCTGAGCCAACATCCATGCTAATACTCCTCTTTTTGCTGAGGAAGACCGGCTCTGAGCTAACATCTATTGCCAATCCTCCTCCTTTTT